TCTTTGGTCCCGCCTCTCAACCGTCAATCAACAGGTGTACAGATTCCTGAGCCTATTGGGCTCTATCATATCTACACTTGAAACTGTGTATGGAGTCAGCCCTTACTGATGGATCCTTCAGATAAAGACGAAGCAAGATGACCTTAAAGGCTGTTACTAGACCACAGCTGGGCTCGTAGGATGGCTCCAGCTGGTGGCGGGACCAGCTGCACTGTTTCACTGCATGGTTCCCATTGTGGCGCAGTGATAAGTGCATTCCGATCACGCCAGAAACGTCCCGGGTCCGATTCCCGTGGTAAGACGAACGTTTCGGGCCAACGCTTCCTCTCACCTGATGCCTCTGTTCACCCTAACAGTAAATACGTTATAACTGGCATCCTGTCCCCGACTGTGAGGAAACCATGAAGTCGGCCATTACCTCCCTTTTATACTTCTAATGCTTTTCTCAAGCATTAGAAACCTTCCATACAAGGAGAGGTTAAGAAAGCTTGACATTCTTTAGATCGACGAAGAGTAAGGTGTGCCATGGTCGAAGTATACTAGTATAACAAGGGTATAACATGGGTATACAAGGGTATAACAATTATTAAGGTACATTAATAATTTATATCATCACGAAATAGAACATCATTGGATACAAATGGAACAAGTTTAGATTCAGGAAAGATCTGTTCAAATATTGATTTTTAAATTGTGTTGATTTAAGCAACAAACTACCTAGTAACATAATTGATGCTGCGTTGTTTCAAGCGATGGTTAGGCATGTTTGAATGGGCATGGTTGAATGAGTGCATGGAGAGATGGGTCCCAGGAGGGAGAGTAGCTACACATTCACAATATGCAAATTGAAAACAACATTGCACAGACCATATACACTGACGGATCACTCAATACAGCTACGGGGAGGGCAGGAAGTGCTGTTATTGCTCATCAGCCCGATGGCAGCACAATTCAAAGGAATATAAGAATTAGTAACTGGGCATCCAAAATGCAAGCTGAGTTGGTAGCGATATTGTTAGCACTTGAAATTATTGACAACACTGAAGTAGACAGCTTAATTATTTCCGACTCTCTTTCCTCACTACAAGCAATAAACAGTTTGCAATCAAGTAATAACGTGCTTGTCTTGGAAGCCAGACATAGATATATAAGCATACTTAGCAAGAAGATAAATATAAAAATGTTGTGGATTCCTTCTCACATTGACCTGCAGGAACATGACAAAGTTGACGCCCTTGCTAAGGCTGCAGTAAATAAAGACAGTATTGAACGGAATCTTGAGTTATCAAATAGGCCCCTTAAAAGTGTCATTAGACGAGAACTCCTGGGTAGATTTGAAGAAAGTAGAACAGTGCAAACTGGAACTAGCAGGTCCATTGTTCATCACAATGAAATGTGTGAAGTTAAACATGTGTATGGGGCAAGTAACAAAGTCAGTAGACTAACAGATGTTGTCACAGCTCGTATAAGACTTGGCTACAAGTATCTCTGGCAGTTCGGCTTGTATAGGGATCTAGATGAAGAAAAGTGTGTGGACAAAGACAGGGACACACACTCGAACACTATATCTTGGATTGTAGTAAAATTGAGCCATTTAGAGATAAATCTAAGCTCACGCTGTATGATATGGCAACCTATCTTGTTACCAAGGATAAAATACCTGAAATCTTTGCGCTGTATCCATATTTCGCTCCCAGTAGATAAATGGCATATGAGATTAAGAAACTCAGTATTGCGAAGACTAATAATAAACAGCAGCTCCCCTATGACTGTAATATCTCCATTGCCCAAACAATTATGTATTAGCGATAAGACCTACATTATTATATTATTATAATACATTAATGTATAATGACTTACTGTAAATATATAGCTCTTGAAATAGGACATTCTCTGTAACTAGCTGACATGTAACTATAAGGTGTGAAGGATAAATGAAATTGTTTATGTAATAATCTAAGATGAGGTCTGATAAAGACCTTTTGTGCCCTCTGTAATGCTTTTGCGCTACCGCTCACAGGATGAGTATGGGGTGCACAATAAACTAGCCACCTCCGGCGGCAACAATCAATCAGGAGACCAGGAATAAGGTCCGTGCTGAGTGCTGAGAGGTGGTGTTCATGCACCACTACTTCCTCTATTCATTTCACATTTTGTCAAGGTATATAATATTTAGACCGCATGGCTCGCAGCCATTTAAACTGAAGTCATGCAGTCTTTAAGAGGTGTGTGTGTGTGTGTGTGTGTGTGTGTGTGTGTGTGTGTGTGTGTGTGTGTGTGTGTGTGTGTGTGTGTGTGTGTGTGTGTGTGTGTGTGTGTGTTTACTAGTTGTGTTTACTAGTTGTGTTTTTGCGGGGGTTGAGCTTTGCTCTTTCGGCCCGCCTCTCAACTGTCAATCAACTGTTTACTAACTACTTTTTTTTTTTTTTTTTTTCCACACCACACAAACCCCAGGAAGCAGCCCGTGACAGCTGACTAACTCCCAGGTACCTATTTACTGCTAGGTAACAGGGGCACTTAGGGTGAAAGAAACTTTGCCCATTTGTTTCTGCCTCGTGCGGGAATCGAACCCGCGCCACAGAATTACGAGTCCTGCGCGCTATCCACCAGGCTACGAGGCCCCCTTTGTGTGTGTGTGTGTGTGTGTGTGTGTGTGTGTGTGTGTGTGTGTGTGTGTGTGTGTGTGTGTGTGTGTGTGTGTGTGTGTGTGTACTCACCTATTTGTGCTTGCGGGGGTTGAGCTTTGGCTCTTTGGTCCCGCCTCTCAACTGTGTGTGTGTGTACACATTTGTCATACCTCTTAAATCTGTGAATTGAGATCTTGTTGTCCAGAACGAATGGTATGTACAGGCATAAGTGGTTTACCTTTCTGGTGAATTAATTCTGTCTAATGGTCAATACTGACCGCTAGGCGTAAGATTAGATTAAACGTTAGAATATATCCAGTGTCATTTTCCTCATTGAGCGCCACTCATTAGTTTCAGGGATCTGTGGGTGCAAGCAAAGAGCTTCGCCAGTCCAGGGTCAGGTGTTTTATCGCACCATATCAGATAAGATTTTTTCCTCCCGACCCATGCTTGTTGAAAGGCAGGTTTATTGGTGCGGGTGGTGGTGGGGGTGGTTGGTGGGGGTGGTTGGTGGGGGTGGGGGTGGTTGGTGGGGGTGGGGGGGGGGGTTGAATTTTACATTGAATTTTGAATTTTAAGCATCGCTCACTCTCGGGCCCAAATTCTGTATCAACAACAATGTAATAAGTTTTAAATAAGATATATATAAATATATTATGACTGAAAACTCACACCCCAGAAGTGACTCGAACCCATACTCAGTACTCAGGTGAGTATGGGTTCGAGTCACTTCTGGGGTGTGAGTTTTCAGTTGCATATAGTCCTGGGGACCATTCAGGCTTGTTCGTGTATATATATATATATATATATATATATATATATATATATATATATATATATATATATATATATATATATATACATGTAATCACATACACACATTTTTTTCAGCATTTATTTTGATATGGATATATGGAAGCTTTAGATGTGTGTTACTTGATGAGAGGTTTTGTCAGTAAGGACATAACCCACAACCCTTGTCACACATCTCAGTTTTGCCTACAGTAAAGTTCATTATTAACGTAACTTGCTTATCTAAAATAAAGGCTGGCGGTGTTGGTTGTGTGTGAGTGTAACCTTTATAGCAGCCCACAGGATGGGCTTGGGCTTGCCCCTAAGATAAAAACCTTGGGCCAGATTCACGAAAGCACTTACGCAAGCACTTACGACCCTGTACATCTTTTCTCAATCTTTGGCGGCTTTGTTTACAATTATTAAACAGTTAATGAGCTGCGAAGCACCAGGAGGCTGTTTATAACAATAACAACAGTTGATTGGCAAGTTTTCATGCTTGTAAACTGTTTAATAAATGTAACCAAAGCCGTCAAAGATTGAGGAAAGATGTACACGTTCGTAAGTACTTGCGTAAGTACTTTCGTGAATCTGGCCCCTTCAGATTGACGAGTACTGTGTTGTGTAGTGGGCTGGGTGGTGGCTGTGGGCTTACCAGGTGGTTACCTTGCCTTTGTTTCGAGGATCAACTTCCTCGCGATCCGGTGTGTGATCTGGCCTCCTGGTTTGGTGGTGATCCTAGCTGCAAACATCTGACTGTTTGACGCAGGTGTGTGTGTGTGCAGTCTGACGTGTGAATCACAGCCCTGTTGTGGTCCGGTATCGTTTGGAGGTGTTCATCACGTTCTCATTTGAACACCGGGAGAGGTCATAACTGGATAGGGTAGTGGGAGGAGTTCTACTCCCCGAGCCCGGCCTGAGGCCAGGTCGGCTAGTTATCCAGCTTATGTTTAGAGTGTGTTGAAAGGCTTGGGTCATGATGATGTTGGACCAGGCCGCGTCCAACAGCCTGGTTGACCAGTCCAGCAACGAGGAGGCCTGGTCGACGACCGGGCCTCGGGGTCGTTGAGCCCCGGAATCACCTCAAGGTAACCTCAAGGTAATGATGTTGGAAGAATTTTTCTATCAGCGTACCTGGGGCGCCGGTTAGAAACAATGGGCAGAGTTTCTTTCACCCTATGCCCCTGTTACCTAGCAGTAAAATAGGTACCTGGGTGTTAGTCAGCTGTCACGGGCTGCTTCCTGGGGGGTGGAGGCCTGGTCGAGGACCGGGCCGCGGTGACACTAAAGCCCCGAAATCATCTCAAGAGAACCTCAAGATATTATTGTGTAACATTATCCTGGAAATGTTGCACAATATAGAGAGGGCTGATCTTGAAAGGTATCGATCATTGGTATGGCATCCCTCTTTTTGAAAGGTTCTTGCTATTCAACCTGTCATATCGGAAGACCTTATTTTTAAAGAAGATAATACAGTAGCTATCGCTACTGCAAGAAAAGGTTACCTCGGTTGACGGTTGCTCTTAAATCTTGTGTATTTTTGTGTATTTTTTGTTTGGTCTGCAGTGTGATGTGACTGTTTTATATGTGGGTTCCGTTTCGATGTTTTCTTGTTTTCCATAGCGCGGGAGCTGGGGCGGTGACAGCGGGCTGGGGCGGTGACAGCGGGCTGGGGCGGTGACAGCGGGCTGGGCCAGTGACAGCGGGCTGGGCCAGTGACAGCGGGCTGGGCCAGTGACAGCGGGCTGGGCCAGTGACAGCGGGCTGGGGCGGTGACAGCGGGCTGGGGCGGTGACAGCGGGCTGGGGCGGTGACAGCGGGCTGGGCCAGTGACAGCGGGCTGGGGCGGTGACAGCGGGCTGGGGCGGTGACAGCGGGCTGGGCCAGTGACAGCGGGCTGGGCCAGTGACAGCGGGCTGGGCCAGTGACAGCGGGCTGGGCCAGTGACTGCGGGCTGGGCCAGTGACAGCGGGCTGGGCCAGTGACAGCGGGCTGGGCCAGTGACAGCGGGCTGGGGCGGTGACAGCGGGCTGGGCCGGTGACAGCGGGCTGGGGCGGTGACAGCGGGCTGGGCCGGTGACAGCGGGCTGGGCCAGTGACAGCGGGCTGGGGCGGTGACAGCGGGCTGGGCCGGTGACAGCGGGCTGGGCCAGTGACAGCGGGCTGGGGCGGTGACAGCGGGCTGGGCCGGTGACAGCGGGCTGGGCCGGTGACAGCGGGCTGGGCCAGTGACAGCGGGCTGGGGCGGTGACAGCGGGCTGGGGCGGTGACAGCGGGCTGGGGCAGTGACAGCGGGCTGGGGCGGTGACAGCGGGCTGGGGCGGTGACAGCGGGCTGGGGCGGTGACAGCGGGCTGGGGCGGTGACAGCGGGCTGGGGCGGTGACAGCGGGCTGGGGCAGTGACAGCGGGCTGGGCCAGTGACAGCGGGCTGGGGCGGTGACAGCGGGCTGGGCCAGTGACAGCATTTACAGACATTTCAGTTCTGTAATTTGTTGTTCATTGAAGGGTTCAACCCCCCTTATAGTGAGAAGGTCTGCTGAAGTGCATACGGAGACTTTTAAACCTCAAGAATTTAGAATGGATATATATATCAGCTAAGGGTATTACACAGGTGTATACCACAATATATGTATATGTATATATAATATATATTGTATAATCAACTATAGGTGTGTATTTCTTAGTGCATACTACGAGGTTAAACTCGTGCCTTGGTCCATGTTTAGGACTAAAGTGGAAATAAAGTGTAATAAAGTGTTTAGGACTAAAGTGTAATGGCTGGTTAATCAGTCATCTCTTGTGGTGGTCTTAACAGCCTTCCATAGGTAGGCCTTCAGCCCAGCATCAACCCCCCTCCCCCCCTAGCAGCAGCTGAATGAAATCTGGAGTGCATATGTTGAGAGGTGCAACCCGTGCCAGGTGAAGGGTCTGGAGTGGCGGTGTTTATTGTTGGCCCTGGATGTTGGCTGTGTCCTCTTGAAGGTGTTTACTGGCTGGTATTATATATATAGGCAGTTGCAGCTGGGCTGGCTCTCAGGTGTAAACATCGGTCTCTTCTTTAGGGCTTCGCTTGTGACCGTGTTTTAATGGTGTCAAGTGTGTGTGCTATAATGTGTGCTATAATCGGCTATAATATCATGAAGCAACTCGAAATAAGTGCTCCGATTGGTAGACCCACAGAAATTGAAATAAGTTTATTCAGGTAAAATACACACAAAGGGATGAGGTAGCTCAAGCTATTCTCACCCCGTTCAGTACATCGTGTTCCAAATGTACTCACTAGAAAGAAGACGAGAGAGATATCAAATAATATACATCTGGAAGATACTGGAGGGCCAAGTACCAAATCTACACAGTAAAATAACAACGTACTGGAGTGAACGATATGGAAGAAAATGCAGAATAGAACCAGTGAAGAGCAGAGGTGCCATAGGCACAATCAGAGAACACTGTATAAACATCAGAGGTCCGCGGCTGTTCATCGTCCTCCCAGCAAGCATAAGAAATATTGCCGGAACAACCGTGGACATCTTTAAGAGGAAACTAGATTTATTCCTGCAAGGAGTGCCGGACCAACAGGGCTGTGGTGGGTATGTGGGCCTGCGGGCCGCTCCAAGCAACAGCCTACAGGACCAAACTCTCACAAGTCAAGCCTGGCCTCGGGCCGGGCTTGGGGAGTAGAACAACTCCCAGAACCCCATCAACCAGGTATCAACCAGGTAATACATACATAGATACAGTGTCCATTGTTCCGATTGGTAGATCCACACTGACCATTGCTCTGACTGGAAACATCACACTGCCCATGGCTCTGATTGGAAAACATCATATACTATCCATTGGTCTGATTGGTAGACCCGCATTGCCAGTTGCTCTGGAAACACCACACTGCCCAGTGTATCAAGTGAACGCCATTGTACGATGCTGCCTAATTATTTTTGTCATGTTGTAGGCTTCGGTTATTCATGACATTTTGTTACAGCCATCAAATAATTGTCGAGAGAACTCGTTACTTGCATTGTCCAACGTCCTTCGTTGGCAACATATTCATTACAGTTACAAAACTAATGACGCTGGCAATCAATTTAAATGTTTTCCCCGGCCACTGTATTGTTATGGGGTCGCACTGATGGGCAGCGCCTCTGTAACGCAGGCTTATCAGAAACCACTGTGGGGACATCAGTATACTGCGTTTGTTAAAATACAATTTGCATCATTGAAGGAACTTGCTACTTTTATATATATATATATCTACTGAACGATCTTCTAACATACCATGTGCTGGTTCCGTGGTTCAGTGCCCCCGCGGCCTGGTCTCTGATCAGGGGCTAGATTCAGGAAGCAGTTACGCAAGCACGAACCTGTCCATCTTTTCTCAATCTTTGGCTGCTTTGTTTACAATTATTAAACAGTTAATGAGCTCCGAAGTTCCAGAAGGCTGTTTATAACAAAAACAACACTTGATTGGCTAGTTTTCATGCTTGTAAACTGTTTAATAACTGTAACCAAAGCCGTCAAATATTGAGGAAAGATGTACTCGTTCGTAAGTGCTTGCGTAACTGCTTCGTGAATCTGACCCCAGGTCTCCTGGTTGGTGGTCTGGTCTACCAAACTGTTAGATGCAGCTACTCGTAGTCTGACGAATGACTCCCAGCCCAGTTGACAAGGGACCCTTTGGAGGTGCTTGTAACGTTGCCTTTTGAACAGCACAAGAGGTTTAGAGGGAGTGTTTTGGAGAGCCTTGGAATTAATTGTCTCTTGAGCATACCTACCGCACCTCTGCCATGTCTCCTGGGGCTAGATTCACGAAGCAGTTACGCAAGTACTTACGAACGTGTACATCTTTCCTCAATCTTTGACGGCTTTGGTTACATTTATTAAACAGTTTACAAGCATGAAAACGTCCCAATCAACTGTTGTTATTGTTATAAACAGCCTTCTGGAGCTTCGGAGCTCATTAACTGTTTAATAATTGTAACCAAAGCCGCCAAAGATTGAGAAAAGATGTACAGATTCGTAAGTGCTTGCGTAACTGCTTCGTGATTCTGGCCCTTGGTCTCGTATGAAGTTATTCCCGTGTGCTTATTACAATTCTATATCGTATACATGTTATTGCATAGTTTTGTCAGTGACGGCAAGGCCCCTTAAGCTTATTGAGGCCCTGCTAGCCAAGGGCGAAGCCTTCCATGCGGTCACCCAACCAGTTACTTGCCGACTATGGCTTAACCCGAGGAACCTCTCAGATTGACCGTGGCTGGAATGCGTATGAATCACACGGAAAGGGGGGGGGGGAGCGCCAAGCCATTGCGACTATATAGCAGGGGGGGGGGGAGGGTCATGACGGGAGACATCTCCCGTCACGCAGGGTGCAGTCGCACCTCCACAGATCTCCAGTATCAGCTCTTGATACTGGTAATGGCTCAAAAGGGCCACCACTTACGGGCTATTCATGCCCGTGCCACCTTTTGGGTGGCTTAATCTTCATCAATCAATCAATCAGGAGGGATATCTTTAAGATGGCACATGATGAATGATGGCCGTCAGTCCTTCACGATTGATTACTATGATTGCTGTGACGTGGCGGACTGGCTCAAGATACAGGGTTCGATATACACACCTTGCGGAACCACCTTTGTCTTTACTTTATTGATAATTAAATACGGTAATTATTTAAGGGGTCTTAAATAATACAATGTCGCGTATAAAGCCAATTTACCTGTTGTTGGTTCCGGGAGGATAACCGTCCCCGCGGCCCGGTCTCTGCCTAGGGCCTACTGGTTGGTTATGTGGTCAACCAGGCTGTTGGACTGCTTGCAGTCTGGCCTATGAATCGGAGGTAACCTTACCTTGAGGTTACCTTGAGGTGCTTCCAGGGCTTAGCGTCCCACCGGCCCGGTCGTCGACCTGGACTGATCAACCTTAAAGATAAATAATCTAATAATCTGTAATAATAATAATAATAATCTGAGATAAATAATCTAATAATCTACTAATCCTGATCAACCTTAAAGATAAATACCTTTGGTATTTATCAAGTTCTTCCCCCAACATCCCTAGAACCAAGCCACTCATGATATCATAAATGTGTTTGTCCTTCTGAAGTGTTATTTTTGTCATGAACAATAACACCAAGGTTTGTGTCAGCATCTTTGTCTTGTGTAAGGTGCATTGTCTTGTCTTAATATAGCCTAGGTGCTGACTCAAGCCCTAATGTTATTGTTTCCCAAGGCAAACATTTTCCTCCACCGATTCGAAACATAGATTATAGGTGTAAGGAGGAGCTTGCCATTGCCCAATACTCTTGCTGTGTACAGTGTGTAGCATCGTGATTAGCTAGTAAGTCAGTATAGGTACTTTTGTAGTGTGTATTGTTCTTGTGTTTTTACCTTTACCCGTGGTCGAGGACCGGGCCGCGGAGACACTAAAGCCCCGAAATCATCTCAAGAAGGTAGGGGAGACTTTAAGGTGCCATATCAACCAGGCGGGTTGCTATGGGTATATCTTGAGGTTATCTTAAGATGATTTCGGGGCTTTAGCGTCCCCGCGGCCGCTCCTCGACCAGGTCTCCTTTTTGTTACCCCCCCCCTTCCCCCGGAAGGAGCCCGTAGCAGCTGTCTAACTCCCAGGTACCTATTTACTGCTAGGTAACAGAGGCATCAGGCAGAAAGAAACATTTTGCCCGTTCCGGGGATCGAACCCGGAACCTCAGGACTACGAATCCGAAGTGCTGTCCACCCAGCTGTCAGGCGGGTACGTGGGCCTTCAGGTCGCCTCAAGCAACAAACTTATAGATCAAGATATCACAAGGTATCACAAGATATCACAAGATTAGCCTTGCTCCAGGTCGTATTGGGAAGCATATTAATATAGAACTATATTAATATAGTTCTTAATATATATTATTATGTAATATAATATCTATGTTATAGAAATTATATTACATCTTATAGGCAGTCCACTTAATCAATTTACTTAGAGAAGGGGGAGCGGGAGGTTGAGACGGGGAGGGACCAAAGGGGCAGATCGAGTAAAGAGAGGGGAAAGGGTGGAGAGAGAAGAGACCTGGGTGCTGCCGGCTACCTGCTGCTGTGGGAAAGAGGGGTAGGGAGATAGGATGGGAAGAGGGGGGAGGAATGAGATGGGATAGAGGGAAGCAGACTGTCCCGGGCACCGCCGGAAACCCTTCCTAGTTTATGTTACATGAATCCTGTTCTCCATTTAGGGTAAACCAAACAGTCAAATATGCTAAGAGTACTGATGTTTAGACATTTCAGGTAAGACTATTTATGGTTGATACATAAGAACAAAGGTAACTGCAGAAGTCACACACAGAGATCACACTAACGTGATGCATCAAATGAACAAATCCACAAGGGCCGTGACGAGGATTCGAACCTGCGAACCTGTCTGGGATGCTCCCGGACGCAGGTTCGAATCCTCGTCACGGCCCTTGTGGACTTGTTCATTTGTTTAACTGCAGAAGGCCTATTGGCCCATACGAGGCAGATCCTATTTCTAACCAGCCAATCCCACTCACATACACCAGGATGATGGGCGAGACTCTATCACTGGCCGTGAGAGTTGTTTTATTTTACGGGTTGTATTTGAGAGTTGTTTAGTGAGTGTGTTGTGGTGTTGCAGGGTGGGTGAGGTGCGGGGTGATGCCGCCGCCACCGCCCCCGCCCGCGCCTGGAGGCCTGCAGCGGCGCGGCCCACACGCCCCGCCCCAGCCCGTGCCCAAGGCGGCAGGTGGCGATGACCGCAACGCCCTCCTCTCCTCCATCAGGACCGGCGCCAAGCTCAAGAAGACCGTCACCAACGATCGCTCCGCGCCGATCATAGATGGTGAGTACTCCACCCTACTACTACTACTAGTACTACTACTAGTACTACTACTAGTACTACTACTAGTACTACTACTAGTACTACTACTAGTACTACTACTAAATTGTCTTCCTGGCGCTTGGTGCCTTGGGTAATAACCGTGTTGTTCTGTCTGCTTTACTGTACTTGCCTGTCACCTGTCAGTGTTTACGGGGAAGTGGGGGTCTGTCTGTGTATGCTCCGCTCACTAGTGCTCTTCCTCTTGCGTTTCAACTACTATGACTTTCCAACTGTTCTCGAATCGGGACTTACAGTTGTAGATGGAGGTGGCTTCCCACACCTTCCTCCTCTAGCACATTCCTCGTGTTAACTACCAATATAAGGTAAGTACTTTTATGTCCCTTCGGCGGCTGATTTGCACTTCCAGTTGCCATTTGTGTCGTCTTGTCCTGCTTTCTCTCAATCTGAAGGGGCTATCCTTGTCCGCCTTATCTATTCCTCTCAGTATCTTGTAAGTTGTGATCATATCCCCCTCTGTTCTTTTTATCCTGGAGAGTTGTGAGCGTTCCATTAGCCGATGGTCGTAGCTTATAACCCTCTTAACTCTGGCACAAATCTTGATGCCCTTTTTCAATGTTGGCTTTTATACTCCACAAGGTTGACAAGGTCCGTATCCTTATACCGCGGCAGCTCTCGCTCCTGTCGGGTTTAACAGTTACTCCAAGTGTTAACGTGATGCCTTCCTTCCCTCCTCCCCCGTGTCCGAGAACTATATCCCCTACCACTATGTCTTGTACAAGTAGTGAAGGAACACCATACTTGCCGGCCGGCAGAAAAGGTGCTTTTGAAAAGATGCATACTTCTGAAGGCTGGGAGATGCCGTGATGGCTTCTCCGGCCTTGAAAAAAGGGGGGATACCATCACGGGGAAGTATCCACTCCCGTGTATATCCTTGCACGACTACAGATCACATTTTCTCCAAGGAGTGCCGGACCAACCGGGCTGTGGTGGGCCTGCGGGCCGCTCCAAGCAACAGCCTAGTGGACCAAACTCTCACAAGTCAAGCCTGGCCTCGGGCCGGGCTTGGGGAATAGAACACCCAGAACCCCATCAAGCAGGTAAAATTCACGCCAACCATCCACACCACTTGCAGGCTATACTCATGCTCAAGAAAATGCAGAATAGAACCAGTGAAGAGCAGGAGTGCCATTGGCACAATCAGAGAACACTGTATAAACATCAGAGGTCCGCGGCTGTTCAACACCCTCCCAGCGAGCATAAGAAATATTGCCGGAACAACCGTGGACATCTTCAAGAGGAAACTAGATTGTCTCCTCCAGGACCCCATCAACCAGGTATCACGCCGCCACCTGGGGTGGCTTAATCTTCATCATTCAATTAATCAATCTGGAGAAGTATCCCTGAGCGCTTCTACCTGCACCACCACTTCTCGGGAGCCGCGAATCATTATGTAAAGTGCACTCACTCTCTGAGCCATGGAGACTGGCATGGGGCTCACGAATGACTCCTGGTGGTACAGCTCAGATTGCTGGTCTGTGGGGGTGTGGGTGGGTGGCTGTGTGGGTGGGTGTGTGTGTGTGTGGGTATGTTTGTGGGTGTCTGTGTGTGTGTGTGTGTGTGTAGGTGTGACATTCTCACTTAAAAGGTTTAAGGTGGGCTCTGGTTATTGTTTATATCCCGTGTTATGACAAGAGGAGAACATGAAATAAATATATTTAGGGGGTGAGCATGCGGGGGTTATCTTGATGGGGTTCCGGGGATCACTGTCCCCGCGGCCCGGTCTCTGGCCAGACGTCCTGGTCGGGTATAGAGATTGGTATGATACCAGGACGTTAGGGAGCATGACTGTGGATGATTTGGTGGGGCAAAGTGAGCATGAACCTCACAAATGATTTGCGTATATTGTGTGCTGGGAGTGAATGGTGTCCATGGCGTGCTGCCGGCCAATATTAATGGCAGCAGAGACTGAAGCATATAGCATACAATGCATGAAAGTTATGCATTAATAATAGAGGCGGGTAAGTGTAATTGAAGGCAGCGGCGTGGTGCGGAGGACCGGATACGGGTCTCATTGGTATTCCTCCGGAGGAAAGATGCGTCGTACGGGGGTGTCAGGAATGCTGAAGCAATACCGGGAATATTTGGAGGTGTTTTGTGTGATGCCCGTCCTCGTTTGGGGGTCAGTCGCCCCCCCCCTCCCCTCTTGATTAGTAAGCCTTCCCCCCCCTCCTTGTCTCGAGTCAGCCCCCTCCCCCCTCCTATCCAGTCAGCCTCTCCCCCCCTCCTATCCAGTCAGCCTCTCCCCCCCTCCTATCCAGTCAGCCCCTCCCCCCTCCTATCCAGTCAGCCCCCTCCCCCCTCCTATCCAGTCAGCCCCCTCCCCCCTCCTATCCAGTCAGCCCCCTCCCCCCTCCTATCCAGTCAGCCCCCTCCCCCCTCCTATCCAGTCAGCCCCCTCCCCCCTCCTATCCAGTCAGCCCCTCCCCCCCTCCTATCCAGTCAGCCCCTCCCCCCCTCTCGAATCGGCAAAACGGAAAAAAATCAGGGCTAGTAAAACACTGGAACTTTATTTACCTAACCGACCCACACGTAGAAAACGGGTTGTGTGTGTGTGTGTGTGTGTGTGTGTGTGTGTGTGTGTGTGTGTGTGTGTGTGTGTGTGTGTGTGTGTGTGTGTGTGAAGACTGTGTTTGGTGAGGGAGTGTTCAACAGGTGTGTGGTGATACACTGGTGCAAGAATGAGAGGAAATGCTTGATTGGACGAGGAAATGCTTTACTCCGGGATGTATGAAACACAGTGGGGGGTGAGGGAATTATCAGGGGAAAGGGCCAAGCCATTACGTCTATATAGCACTGGGAAGGGGTCAGGATAAGGCTTTTGGGATGGGACGGCGGGAAAGGAATAGTGCCCAACCACTTGGACGGTCGGGGATTGAACGCCGGCCGTTCGTGGTCTCTCAGTATCTGTAAAAATACACAAAACTCTTACATCCTCCTGGTAATAAGAGAGAGAATTAAATCCAATTTAACCCGTTAAATTTCACGATCAAATTAATAACTCTTAATTTAGTAAGAACAATGCACTGACGAATCCAAAACATTAGCATTATAATGTGTGTTCAAATAGGGTTGTATTAAACTCCCTTTGATGTTTGAACATTTAGTGTGTGTTCGCACAGTTGCAGGCCTCGTGTGGCTTCCTTCGTTGAACTGGTAGAGGCGCGCCTGTCTTGTTCAGCGCCTGTCTTGTTCAGCGTCGTGTGTCTGAGATCGGTAGGTGTGAGCTGTGTAGGCCTATGTGAGGCAGGAAAGAAAGAAAGGAAAGAGCGAGAGAAAGGAAAGAGAGGGGCAGGGAAGAAAGGCAATGGAGAGGGAGAAGAGGAGGGGGTGTGAGAGAGGGGTGAGAGGGGGTATGGTAGTGGTGTGTGGAGGGCAGGAACTGGCTAGACCAGTCTGTTGTTGGCGTAAGTGAAAGTCGCGTGAATTGGTTATAAACTGAAAGTGTACTCCTTATCTGGCTAGTCTCGTAGCAGCTTTCATTGGCTGGAGGAGACGACTGGACCCTACCCTACCCTACCCTACCCTACCCTACGCTACCCTACCCTACCCTACGCTACCCTACCCTACCCTACCCTACCCTACCCTACCCTACCCTACCCTACCCTACGCTACCCTACCCTACCCTACCCTACCCTACCCTACCCTACCCTACCCTACCCAACTCTACCCTACCCTACCCTACCCTACCCCCCAAAGAGGTGCCCGGGAAATATCTTATAGTGCCGAATTTCACATTCAGATGTAATAAAGGCAACTTTAAAAATAATTCCTTGTGTTTTATTCAGTTTTGGGTGTTGTGCCGGCATGGTGTGTAGGTTAGCCTGCTGGGGTGGAAGAACCTGTGGGGGGGGGGGTTGTATACCCGGGGTGGGCTCCACCAGGTGAGGGCTCTCTCCTCCACCAGGTAGACATGTTACTCAACCGAGCTGTTGGAGGTGGTCGGCCGCACGTGTGTGTAGGCACAGCAAGGTGGCGGATCGTGAATGAAAAGGAAATTGTCGACTTGAATTATATTTTGGAGAGGGACATTTGCATACAAGAGCCTCAGTTGCTGGAAGAGAAGAGAACTATCGGGGGTAAACGCCAAGCCATTACGACTATATGGCACTGGGAAGGGGTCAGGATGGGACCCGGGGGGGGGGGGGATGGGGCCCACCACTTGGACAGTCGGGGATTGAACGCCGACCTGCAAGAAATGAGACCGTCGTTCTACCTTCCACTGGATGAACTCCCAGAACCCACTCCTGGTATTACCTGCTGATAGGCAAGCTGCCTTGTGGGGATTTCGAGGATCACCGTCCCTGCTGGCCGGTCTCTGACCAGCCAAGTAGTCCGACAGAAGTGTTGGGTTGTGTCCTCGCGTCCTAGCACGGGTGTGTGGGCGGCGAGGCCCGGGTGTGTGGGCGGCGAGGCCCGGGTGTGTGGGCGGCTAGGCCCGGGTGTGTGGGCGGCTAGGCCCGGGTGTGTGGGCGGCGAGGCCCGGGTGTGTGGGCGGGGAGGGCCCGGGTGTGTGGGCGGGAAGGGCCCAGGCTAGTGAGGGCAGGGGTCGGGTGACAGCTAGGGGTGGGGTGGGTGTGGGGTGAAACATGAATGTCAGTAGGTTAGCGACGAGGGCGGCCGGTGTGACTGACTGGCAGGCTCCCTTACCTGCTGGGGCTGTACGGAACGGTTGGGGAACACCACCACCACCACCACACCACACCACACCACCACCACACCACCACCACACCACACCTCCACCACACCACACCTCCACCACACCACACCTCCACCACACCACACCACCACCACACCACCACCACACCACACCACCACCACACCACCACCACACCACCACCACCACCACACCACACCACACCACACCACCACCACACCACACCACCACCACCACCACCACCACCACCACCACCACCACCACACCACCACCACCACACCACCAC